TCTCAAAATCCTGTGCTCTTTTGTGGCTGCTGTTCCGTGCAGGACCTCTGATCCTTCCATTGTCTGGACACAAAAGGCTTCATAAAGACTGATCACAGAAAGATTTCACCTGCACATGCCTCATGTGGTTGTCTGTTGATTTAGTGACATGCTCTAACTTCCTGAGCAAAAAAGTAAAATAAAGAAGTTCAGTGGTTTCTAAGAACATATGTGAAGAGCACCAGAGTACCTCCAATTTCATATAGGGTCAAATCAACCCTTAGCAACTTCTCCCAGGTACTAGTCTAAATACTGCCCCAATCTGTCAGCACTAGCATTTGCATGCATTAAAACTGGAGCCATCAGACACAGGCAGGCTAACACAATGGCTGCCATTCTGCCTTTTTCACTCTGAAAATGCTGATCTTGTCATGGTGGACGATTGATATGGTATTCCAGGTTTCTCCAAGCTACGTCATTGTACTGAAGCAATCACTTGTGCCTTTGCTTAAAAACGAGAACAATCAGAGCTGGAAAGTCTTTCAGGCAATTACGCTGGTCTCCTTCACACATCCACATCAACTAACACTCAATCTCTCTCCAAAAAAAACCCCTCAATTCTGAGAGCAAATTTCAGCCTACTCTTCCTCACATATGCAACAACAACAGTTACCTTGATCCACTGCTATTCCTTCTCAAGGATGTCTACTTTTGCTGTTTGTAAGAAGCATTCAGCTAGAAATAAGAATCTTTTCCTACCTCAGATATACAAGATGATAGAAGTAGTAATTCCCCAGAGATATTGGCTCTCACAGCAGAAACCAATCACTTCCCATTTCACTTTTGCTCAAAAGCTACTTCAGTACATAGATGGTATGAAGGTCTCTGCCCTTGGATAAGGACCTGTTGACTAAATGACACTACCAGCTTGTACCTGCTTGCAACATCTTATTTTCTTCTGCCCCTCTTGTTGAAAGGCAGCCTCCTCAGACTGAATATGTAGGACCAGAGATCAGCGATACTTTCTTTTGTCCAGCTTTGTCTTTATAACATTCATGGGGGTTTTTAAATCTATTTTTTCACTGTTCCACCATTTAAGAGACTTTAAATTTCTGTATTACTGCCAATGTTCTAAACCAAGTATATGATGTTTCTCTCTCCTGGATAGTAGGTTCGGAAATGCTACTGAAGAACTGCAGATCCATTAGCTAGCTTACTCCTCTCTAGCACCAGTACCCTCTGTTCTTCTTACAAGTACAAATTTTAGAGTCATGTTTAACACAGATTTACTGAGGGCTGTGATGCTTTTAGTCCTTTCACCTCATTGGTACCAGAGAGCGTGACATACACTCTAAGATCACATGATGTAATTCCAGCAGCACAACAGCCACTCACAGCCAGACTGGGTGGGTTTGTCCTGAATATTTTTGTCTCTCTTTCAGTGGTATTGACTGCAAGTCCAACTGAGAATTTACAAATCGATCAGTTTCTGCTTTATCTTAAAAGTCCTCATGGGTAACTGGCTATGCCAGAATTGCAAATCTTTTGATCTCTTTCTGCCAACACTGACTGATGCTGGCTCTGATCCCCGTCTCAATATCTACCAACAATTCAGATTCCTTTTAGGACAAGTTTTGCAGCAGAAACATAAGGATGCTGAAGTTGGCTATCAGCAATCCCCCAGCTTCGTCATCTTCCCAGCCATTTGTTTAAAGTATGGTACTGTACAGAGCCTAACGAGCCTCCCAGGGAGTTCATCCTTCCAAAACAGTTGGCTCATACTTGAGTTTATTGCGCTGTGACAATCTGAGCACAATGCACTAGGTTTTTCTAGCTTACAAATGGGAGTGGAAAAGTCTTGTAAGTATCTAATCCTACCAAATCCACTGGCAAGTGTAAGTCCGCATCTCCAGTGCTGGCTATCATATCCTGCTTGTTCCTTATGGTGGTAACTCAGGTACTTAATGCTAGCACGTATCTGTAAGCAAGCTCCAAGCTGATCAAAGCTTTCCAGGATGCTCCCTTTTTTGGAAAACATTCTGTTTTACAGCACCTCAACTGCTAGTCATCTTATTTCCTTAATTCCTAATTTGGCTGAGTATTTTGCCTTTGTGTCTCAGAACTGATACATTCTTCACTTACAAACCATTTCTACAAGATAATGAGGTGTTGCTTTTGTTCTTTTTCTGCTCACTATCTCATTTCAATCCCTTTCTGAAATCTCCATGTTTGGCTTCATTTAAGAATTATTGAGTTTGCCATGGAGACCTGTGAACTGCTTATCTGTATCTTTTTAGTACAATGGCAATGTTAATGTGCAGTTTGGAAACTGGACCACACTCCTAACACCAGGTAGGTTTTTTGCTGTGTGTGATTAGCTAAGACTCACACCAGAAAGTTGTTATGAAGAAGAAAACAATGATAAAATCAGGGAGCACTGATACAATCCTCCTACAGAAAGCACAGTAATAACAATAAATCCCTTCCCCTAAACACAGGAGAAATCAAATGGTGGAAGACAGAGAATGCTCCGTGCTTCTTCCACCCAGGCTGCAGCCTGCAGGGTGACATGATCAGAGCTTCTGCACCCTCTCTTCTTGCTGCTTTCACCCGTAGATGGTGGATGGACAACGCTGATTTTGTAAGTAGTTGTCTTCTCAAGTGCTTGAGCATTTTTTCCTTCCCTGATGCTGCTGCCACAGCACAGCAACTTCTGGAGCTACGCTGGAAATTAGATCAGGCAGCTAGGCTAGGTTAAAAACAACCCTTCTAAAAATCTATTTTTAAAAAATATTGGAGTACTTATCACATCTGTTCCACAAAAAATAACGCTGGCATAACTGAGAGGCCAGAAAACATCAGGACAAAGGTGGGACTGAATGGCCACAGCAGGGTATACCTAAGCCAATACTGTTGTATTGGATTGGCAACAGCAGCTAGTAAATACCTTTTGATTTTGCCCTTTATGAGACTTTTTTTTTGGATGGAGATATGTATCTGTGGGGACAATGCTCTCAGTTTTTCCAGCTACCTAGTTACGACAAGGAAGCTTACCAACATCTTATAAGGACCAAAAATAACAGATAATACAACCAATGAGTAACCTATATCATAATATTACCATACAGGCTTAAATTTTGGGAATGTCTTTCATGTTTAGAGCTCTGCTAGTTAAAGGCTCTGAGATGCTCTTGTTTCTCCTTCAAAACTTTCATATTTAGTAGAAAGCATTCTTCTTAAAGGAAGCTAGAGAGTTCCTTTCCTATTTAAATTTCACATGAAACACTTTATTTCAGTCACTCAGTGAATTTGCCTTGGGCAACTGAATCACAGCTGACAGCAAATTAATGACTATGATGGTGTGATTAGTAGAGATTACAGGCAACTGAGAAGCTGCCCAAGCATTTGCCGTTGTCACAATACTTATGTCAGCTATTATTAGGGATTAATAATGGTCATAAAGAGGACTTGATTCCACCAGGCAGACTCTTTAAAAACTGTTAGTATTTTAATGTATCACTGAGAGTCTGATTGAATGGTGAAAATTATTTTTATCTAACCATTTTTTAAATATTCTTTCTAGATACTTATATTATTTATTTATTTAAATATTACTAGAAAAATAGTTTCCATTACATTTAAGGAAGAAGTACCATATACAAACACACTTGACAGAGAAATTTAATATTATATTACACATGGGTAGTCAAAACAGAACTTAAGCTCTGAGACTCCTGTGCTGTGAGATATCACACCAAAACCCAACTGGGAAGAAATAATGATTTCACTAATCCCTAGCAATGATTTTCTGAGGAGTTCAAATAAAAGTTTGCTTGTTCTGATTGAGATTCACTAAATAGATGTTATTTGATTTTTCTGCTTCCTGGGGGAAGAACTTCAGATTCCCCAGACAGCCAGAAGAAAAGAACAATGGGCTGAACTTGCAATAAAGCATCTTATCGGCTAAAGACATGATAAAAGTGAATACACTGCATATTTGCCAAAGCTCTTGCCATTCATTTAATTTCCAAATGTCAACCAGTTATATGAAACCTTTAAAAAAGGTTTCTTAAGGTAGATCAAACAGGAGGATACGCTATTTTTAATCTCATATTAAAGATACTTAATTATTTATAACCACTCTTATTTAAAATACAGTAACTTGAACTTATGCAAAGACTCAGCACTGTTTAATAATAAAAAAAACCATCTGCTGCTTATGCTGTCCCTACAAATATTTTCTTACTGGATGATAGTGGAAAACATGAAAAACTAATGACTGGCTGACAAGAAGACTATTTAGATATTGAAATGAAAATCTAATGAAGAGCAACATCACCAATCACATGTTATCACGTTGGGAAGCCTCACATAATGATTTTCCAGTGACTCAGAAACACGTCCACCCTTGTCACTGGAGAGTACAATGCATTAACAGCAAAGGGAGATTTATCATACAGAGCACAATTTCTTATAATTGCAATACTTACAATGTGAAATATCAAAGAGCAAGTAATAGAAATGACATTAATTTTCAAAGTTGTAGCCTGATCTTACAAACACTGAAGTACACACCCCGGTATCTGAAAGACTGGTCGCTAACACATGAGATATAAGGCCAATTAATTCTTAAAATTAGGGGGAAGAAAAGCAATTACGCTTCCAGTTACCATTTTTTATTTGGTTAAAGTGTTATTTTTGATTTTGATGAAGTGTTAAAACTGCAAAAGCAAAGCATCTGAATTACAGTCTCCATTGCACAAACAGGGAACATGTTTAATAAACCTCCTGGTTCTTGTATGTACCCACCCACCGCAGAATTCTGCTTTCACATTTCATGTGTGTAGCCTAACCCCAGTAAAGCCTGTGACATTACACGGGTATAAAGTAAAATAGCCTTTGGTGCCAATTTTTGAAGAAGTATTCCCACTCTTATTTTCCCAGAGGAACCTGCTATCAGCTGTGCAAATACCGTATCTGTAACAACTGGAAGAGAGGCTGCAGTGTGTCAGTGATCTTACCTCATACTCAAAGTCCTCTGCTCTATCTGCATCAGCAGGCAGGCTGGAAAGATACTCATTACCTTCATAAAATTCATGCTCCACTGGGTGAAGAGAATGGCAGCTATGTGGAACAAAGCAGTACAACAACAGTAGATGAGACAATAGGTTATTTTTAAATTAAAAAGTGATAAAAACCCCCCACTTCTCTGTAGTTTTCTCATCTCTGGAATGTTACTCTGAATGGCCTGACAGCCAGAAAAAAACTGTGCCACAAAGAAGCACAGGCTGGTTTCTTTTCAAAAGCTCATATTCCAGCTGAGTTCATTTTGCTGGGTTCATCTTTTGTCAGATTTACAGAAGATGATTTCTTGAAAGGGTCTGTTTTGGGCCAGACTACTTAATTGCAACAATTTGAGATTCCTTATGCTCATAAAGGTACCTAAATCCAGATTCATGTGCTGCATCATGGCCAGGGGCAACTCTCTAATTATCTGGTAATAAAGTCTTGAACATCTACAATCTAAAGCCTACACCAGGCTCACAAATTGTTCAAGAACTTGCATAAAAGAACTTGCATTATCCTCTTCTGTTAAAGTGATAACAGGGTGGTGAAGTACATTTCAGTAACTGCACACTTAAAAATGTCAGCAAACTTCACTGTTAAATATGCACTTGGAGCATAAAGAATGAGGTCTTTACAATGTGCACTTAGGTAGTGCCTTAGACCCAAGGCTGGATCTCAAACCATGCAACATCTGATGCGGATCTGTCTTAGCAGAAGCAGGAAACTTTTCCCCATGCTAAGGACGTGGGAACTTCAATCACAATCAGTTTAGTAATATCCAGTAACAACTCAAAAATCTACACTCATCATGGTCCTAGCTGTGCAGCAGTAACTGGCAGGCTCAATCCAGCACTTGGCTGGCAAGTTCTGAGATAATCACCTACCCAGCTTACCTAGAACTTATAAAAAAGGAGCTACATCAAAGTCAAAAGTGGTATGTTCTCCATTAGCATAAATTCTGCAGAGATGTATGGCATGCCATACTTCCATCAGTGGAAAATCTCTAGGGCTATCACAGTTTTGCTTGCTACAGACAGACAGCAAGGATCAACCAGATGATGTTACTCACGAGGTGGAAGCCAAAGAGGAAAAAGCCTACACCCTATTTTTGTATAAGCACCACCTGCTGGTGTTTGCAGTCAATTCAGTTTCAAAGAATCCAGCTGAGGGATAATTTAATTCATATCAATTGCCATATGACAGGTGAAATTGTACTGTATTGTTGGAAATGTTTTGCTTTTGACAAGGGAACCTTTAAATCAACTAATTTGTTTCCCTGATTTTTTTTGGTAAAAAATATGGAAGAACAGAAAGCAACAAGACAGCTCTTTCCAGATGTGAAGAAGCCATTTTGTTACTTTGGAATACAGAAGTGTTTTTCTTGACTAGGGCATAGCTTTGGATGAACAAACTCATGAATACAAAGTAAACATGGCCAAGATTCCTTCCTGTAGCTCTAATCCACAAGTAGAGTTTAGGAAAACAGTCACTGAAGCCTGAATGGGACAGTAGTTATCAATGACATTTATAATTTATTCAAAGTGTTTCTAAGACTTCTTCAAGAGAAGGCTACAAGCCTACCACTGTAATGCCTCAATCCCACAGGTAAACAGCAGAAGAAGATAAACCATACCTGTCTGAAAGCAGAAAAGGGCAGATATCAGGAACTGGCGGTGTGGAAGGCCTTAGTTTGGCCAGAGCCATAATGTGCTCAAAAGTGATGTCAGTCTGAGTGCTGGCATCCACAAGCCGAACATCCTGAGAGCTACCATGAGCTTTGCTAATTGGAGCTCGTCGTAAAACCTGAACTACAATTGGCTCCTTGGCATTGCGAAAAGCTTCCACTGCTTCTTCATGAGTGGCCTTGGAGAGGTCCTTCCCATTGACCTAGAGAAAATGAAAAATATACCAAGGTTACTCACAAGAGAAAAGGCAGCATAAAAATATGGATGTAAAATATAGGTGGATGAATTATTTGTGTAGCACATCAAGGCACATGCTGACATTGACTGGACTGTATTTTGGGACCCATGCAAGAGGGAAGATAAAGCTGTGAGGAGAAATAAATTCTTTAATCTTTCCTAGAAATTCGAAATGGTTTGAACTCTTCCATAACTGTCCCAATTGAATCTGAACACAGCAAAGAAACCACAGTATTTAAAAAAGATATTTAAAATTATTTCTCTCATGCTATTTTATTGACCTCATAAAATACAAATAAAAAAGGAGAGGTGCCTTTAATTTTCAATTTCAGCATTTTCTGTGGCATGCAACTGTTTTAAAGGATTTCTGGCACAGCATTGTTATTAATGCAGATGTCAATAAACATGTCTCTGATGTCTAAAAAGAAACAAGGCCAATTTTCAATGTTTTGTCACTTATCTGCTATGGCCATTATACAATCATTAAGACCAAAGATAGGAAGATTTGACTAACACAGTCAGCTGCTGCTCTTTTAAGGAAAGAGAAATCTAAATCAAACAAACTGAAGAAATAATTTGCTACGAACAGATGAATAATAAACCAGGGAAAATTATGCTGCAAATGCAGCATAGCTTGGCAAAACTAAAAGACTGTGGCAAGGCTTTGCTCTGCTACAGCCAAAGCAGCAAATTCCCCCCAGTCTAAATGAGGCCTTAGGGTATTAAAAAAAGGTAACTGCAAGGATGGGTGATACTATATTCATATGAATTCAGGTGTTTAGGGCAAAATTCCCAAGCATGAGCTTGCTACAAAATGTGAGGGCAATCACGAGCTAATTTGACACTGGGGGTATGTAACATCCTTACACAGAAAATACCATTCTGCTGTTTCCAGAGCAATGGGGCTGCTGTTGACTGCTGCACAGGACCTAACTGTTGTGAGCTACTGTGGAGATGAGATGATCCTGTGCTGGGGAAGAAAAGCAGGGTTTTCTAGTAAGAAATGTGAATATCTGAAGGGTATCAAAAACTGATTAAAATTTATACCCCTGGGAAAATCTCTACACTGGCGGCAAATCAGAAATAGGATTCTACTGCAAGTTCATGCCCAAATTAACTTTGTTGTATAGACAATGGAGTCATAAAAATTCTTCTTAATGAACTAAACCTAAACCCTCTCCAGAAATGGGACAGACCTCATAACTGACTTTCCCCCAATGCCTGCAAATACTGGTCGAAAACAAAATTTATTTGCCAATCACTCTTTCATTCAAGAAATTCTTGGAAATTTCTTGTCAAAAAGGAAAAACATGTGACCAAGAACAAGGCCAGCAAACTCAGAAAAGCCATTTAGCAGTATTCAGTAACATTTTTAAGCCTGTAAGGAGAAGCATTTGCAACTAAAAATGTCATATTTGAGGCAATGCATGCAACCAAAGTCCTGTCTATTTATATGGATGGCTATGATACCATTGACCATTAACTACATGTATATATCAACTCAGTACATTTCCAGAGTACGTGCTTGAGTACAAGGTAGAAGCAGCTTTCCTCTGACACAACTTCCAAAGAAGCAGCGCTTTCCCAGCCACATTACTCATGAGGACATGCAAAATAACTGCACCATAGCGTAGCCACAATGCAAAAGTCAATTGATCTTTCTAGCTAGCCAGGATGCTGTAGGTGGTGATGAGAAGGCTAGAAATCATTTGAACAGACTTCTATACATAAAAAAAGCACAAAACGCCCTGTGCTGAATGCCTGGCATCCCCAGAAGTACCACACCACTGCAGCCTACACTGTGATCAAGTAATATGAACAGCAGACAGCTTGGTCACCTATGTTTAATGTTTATTAAGATTTTATGTTAAGATTTTATTGTTTAAATTATCATCTATCAAATGATAACCTTGGGTTACATTAATCTAAGTTCATGGAAAAATATTAGTGGTATATAAGAGGAAGGGCCAGAACAGTCAAAGAACAAGTTACGTCATAAGAAAATACAAGAAATTTCCCCAAGGAGTGAGCTTCCTGCAAACCCTCTCCAATAGCACAAGTTACACTGTCAGGGTGTTCAGACTGAGCCTCATTTAACAGAGGCAATTAGAGATAAAGCTTGAAGCCTGGGTCTTCTAGTCACTCTCCAGCTCCAGCTTTTGCTTTAGTCTGGCTTCTAACTCAGATTCTATCAGGTACACAATCTTCCAGAGTTTCTGCAGTTGTTGTAACAAAAGCATCCTATAGGCCCTCTGAGTAACCCTCATTCCTAAGGACCTAGAAATGGAAAAATTACTTTCCTACCTCACAAAACCCTTTAAATACTTTATAAGTTTCAGGTAACTATATGGTGTTTCTCCAAAACCAAATGCTTGGGAATAAATACCACACAGCATTGCATCAATTTTTTCCCCTGTTGAAGTATAAAACACACAATCCTTCAGTATCCCAGTTGAACCACATGGTTTTTGGCACAAACTGACTATTTTATCACAGATCCCCATCAGCAAAGCAAAAAGATATTTGGATAGCTTACAAACCATATTATTAGATTTTTTTGAAAATCAGAAGCTCTGTTTATTCACATCACTTGATACTTATCACTTATTCTGAGGAAATAAATAGACATAAATCCACAACAATGCCATTTACATGCAAATCTTATTCCTAAAGAACAATAATATTTTAAAATCACCGAGTGTGAAAAATCACAAAAGATACACATTTTAATTTATCCTGGAAACCTATGGCTGACCTCTATTTTCATTTAAATGCCTATTTAATTTAAAGACTTTCAAAACATTCAATCCTTTATGTTGGCTTCTTCTGAAATACAAGCACTTTGGACACTCAATACTTGTTTAAATTGTCACTTGAAGTTCATCAACACACTTTGTTGACCTGCATAAAGGTCATTTAATTTATGAAAGCCGCCTTTCTCAGAAGAAAATCTATAGCTGAACTACTCTGTGCTGGCAGCTGTCCTGCCCACTTGGGGCTGGGAAGACAGAATTTATTTTAAAGCCTAAAGCCAATACTACAGATGGGGTTGGAAACTCTCTTCATGTAGCTTCTTTAAGGGTTTTCTGCCTCCTGCATTATCCTCCAACTTAACACTCATATATAGTTACCCTGGGAGCCATAGACAGCTGAGCACTTATTTACAGCAAGCCACTTACAGGTTCTTAGTGGATGATTAAATAAATTCCTTGCCTTGGAAAGGTTACTTTCAGTGGAATCCAGGGTACTATTTTAAGTGGATAGAGAAATCAGTCACTTTTAACAGTCAACACAAAGACAAGGGAATACATTTGTTGTAGCAGATGGGCTAATTAATCCACAAGCAAGTTGTGAATGTTAAGTAAAGAATATATCTTTTCTCATGTAAACCATCCTCCTGCCCTGTTTGATTAAGCTTCTGTTTAATGAACACTCTACCCCTGCTTTTGGACACACTGCAAAGTCTGGGCCACTTGTCTCCCATAGAGTGACTGGTGGCCACTGCCTGGATCCTGGCCATCCCCTTTGGATTCTTGCTCTAAATCCAGCCACATGCAAAACTTAATCAGTGCCAGAAAATAAACAAGCAAACTGGCTTTGTCTTTTACGCACAAATCAACCAACATTGGCCAATTGCCACTTCTAATGCCAGCACCACTGTACATAGGCTTATTCCCACTCACGCAGAGGTGGATAGCACAGAAGGAAGCAGGCACGGGACTAAATAACAACAGTGACTGTAAAAAAATGTAGGCAAATGGTTGTCAGCTTATCCTCGTGCTCTGAGTTCTTAAAAAAAAAAAGAAAAATCAGTCCTTTGACGAAGACTGCATCCAGGATTTAAATTTAAGTGCCTGTGACTGAGAAATAAAATAGCCTTGTCCTCTAACATTTTTCTGCTCTTGATAATTTCTTTTAACATTGGCCAGAATTTTTGAATCAAGAGGGCCAGAAATGTTGCTACCTTTCCTGTAGTCTTTACTTCCTCCACAGTAAGAGAAAAAGGGAAAAAAAATGAAAAAAAAAGTTTACTCAGGTGAATGCAACTATCACAAAAGGTGTCACATTAGCAGCTCATGAGATAACCTGCTATCCTCAGCAAATACCTGGCATAGGCAAGTTGAAATTTAAGATCAGCTCTGCTGAAGTAAAATCCTTTGAGACCCTCCGTTTAATCAGTAAAGGTAAAGGGAAGAATAACTGGAGCATTCTGCTAGAGCAGCAGTGTTCAGACGTAAGGGTTCCCCAGTGAAATGACAGAGATGCTGTCTGACGTGATGATGGAGTTCACACAAGGCTCACTGTCCTAGGATATTTCAGCACCCACGCAGAAGATGCCTCTGACCTGACAGGTGCTAAATCTGTTCTCATCACATCAGCCTCTTCACCTTCAAACCCTCAACCTAAATACATCCAGGCTACCACACCCTGGGTGCACCCTTGGATGTCAAACTGGCACAAAGGATTGAATGCTGTCCCTTATTTTGACCAGCCCTTCTTTAGGACAGGAATTTGAGCCCTCCTTAACTGCAAGCCATAGAAAAAGAACAGAAACGTACCACCTGCCTCCCGGACTTACAGCTTTCAGCACACACAGACTCTAGAAAACTTCCACTGCTGAAGGCCACCTGCTGTGAGGCTTTCCAGGCAGGATAGAAGGGCACAGGACATGTGAGCTATCAGTGACACGTGCGCTGGAGAGGACACTGCAACTCTTCTGCTAACGCAAACGTGATAGCTCATCTATAGAAAGGGCATTCAACATGCTGACCTTTTAGGTTACAGTTCAGTACTAAGCTACATTTATTCAGCAAGTTAATCTGAAAGGTAGCAAATTCAGCCATTACCCGATACCACTATCTCAGTCGAGGTTCACATAAGTTCAGTAGAGTGATAACTTTTATTATGCTGGTTAATGACATTTCCTTTTCCTTAGCCGAGGTGAGTTAAGTAACGTTCCCATTT